AAGAGGGACCGCCCAAAATTGGAAGTGGGAATATTCAAAAGGGACGGTGGGAGTATTTAAATTTTAATTTTAAAAAACATAAGAACACCATCCCTTACCCTAGTAACTTATCCCAAAAAGTAGACATGTTCAATTTTAAAATTCTTATTAATAAAGGTAGTTTGAAGCATTATTTTTCTGAAATAGAATTAGTATTTTTATTTTATTATTTTTAAAACCACTATTTTCATTCATTTTTAACTCCGTTTCGTCCTAATATATTAGTTTAATTTTCTATTTTGATCTTTATGGACATACTACATTTGGTATGATTTATGTGGCTCAAAGTAATTCATACTTTGACAGTTCAATATGAGCCGCACAATTCCATTTGTCCTAAATTTGTGTGCCACTCTCACATATCCTAACAATAGACAGACGGAGGAAGCAGTATAATTGACTGCTTCATATTTCCTTAAAAAAATCATTTTGTGTACCAATTTATAAATCAGTGCAAATCACGTGGCACAACTGTGCAACTATTAGAAACTTAAAAGAAATGGGGATGAGAGTATGTGGCATTCTATTAGGGTAAATGAGTTTGGAGGATAAAAACTAGGCAAGCTCATCTCACCAGTCTCTTTGTGTTTGTCATTTTAAAAATTTGGAAAAGATACATGCAACCAAAGCCTAAATATAAAAAGCCATTCTGCAGTATAACAACAACAACAACAACAAAGTCTTATCCCACTAGGTGGGGTCGGCTACATGGATCAAACGACGCCATTGCGCCCTATCGTGTATCATATCTGTTGTGAGATTGTTCACATGGAGGTCTCCCTTGATCAATGCTCGCCAAGTCCTATTAGGTCCACCTCTTAGGTATAACAGTGTTGAATAATTTCATGTTATTCTCAGAAATTTTCAACCCACATGGAATTGAATTTGTAAGTGAAGAAAACATCAACAAAATGATACTCCGTATTTGTTAACAATTCCATTTGTGTGTTCAATAAGGGTCTATATTGATACTTGATATTTTTGAACTTCTTGCCATGGTTAGGGATCCATTGAAGCTCTGAGACAGGCTCTCCAGCTTCTTCCTCAGGATAATGTCACTCTGAAGTTCCTATTACAAGCTACTGGGGATGTGAACGCCAGTGATGTTGATCTTGCAGTAGCAAGTAAAGCCATCATCTTAGGATTTAATGTCAAAGTGTCGGGCTCTGTCAAAACCTATGCAGACAACAAAAGTGTTGAGATCCGGCTGTACAGAGTCATATATGAACTTATAGATGATGTACGAAAGGCTATGGAAGGACTTTTGGAACCTGTGGAGGTAAATGCAGTTCCTTTACTGTATCTCCCTTATTTCCTTATATCATTAACTTAGAACATATAGAAATATAGCTTGGAATGTCTAGACACATGCATACCATACTAGCTGCACCCATCTTTTCTTGACATGTACACATTGGGTTGTGTGTATTTATAATGATGCAGTTATTAACTAATTTTAATGCACTCTAACACTCTTCCGGAAAATGAAAAAACACTCTTCTGCCCAAAAAAATAAATGTTCTAAAAGCACAAACTCGAATGTTCTTCCCTCTAGCCTGTTAAAATCATATTTACACTGTTGAACATTAAGGACAAGCACAAACTGCATTGTTCTTGTCTTTTGCTAGTTAAAATCATTATTTACACTGTTAAACATTAACACTATGTTGGGCTCAAGGATTTTGGAAGGAAAAGAAAAGAAAATGATTTTCTCTCATTTTCCTCACCAAAATGGAAGGAATTTGATTTTCCCTCCACTTGGTACATTTTGCCTCCTCATTTTCTTTTCCTTCCACTTTTCCTTTCTTTTCCCCTCTAACCAAACAAGAAAAATAGTTTTCCACTTCATTTTCTTTTCTTTTCCCTTTCAAATTCCTTGAACCAAACATAGTGTAAGGGTTATGGGGGCATTCTCGACATTCTATATTCTCAAAAATACCCCAATAAACTTTATTGATAATCAGTGATTCTGAGAGGAGGGGCTAGTTGTATCTGGACTACTACATAAAACCATTTGAAGGACCAGACCACAAAAAATCTTGAGACTGATTATCTTGCAGGAACAAGTGCCAATTGGTTCAGCAGAAGTGCGTGCAGTGTTCAGTAGTGGCAGTGGTCGTGTTGCCGGATGCTTTGTAACAGATGGGAAAATTGTGAAAGATTGTGGAATTAGGGTACTAAGGAACCAAAAACAAGTCCATGTTGGTGTCCTTGAATCTCTGAGACGTGTTAAGGAGATCGTGAAAGAGGTATACACTACTTCTATAACTAGTACTTATCTAAATATTTCTATCTCAAAATGTCATAAACATGGTGTCGTGTTCCCAATTCATTACGCTCCTCTGATCCAAATTTTTTTCAAAACAGGTGAATGTTGGACTAGAATGTGGAATAGGAGTTAAAGATTTCAACGATTGGGAGGTCGGAGATAATCTGATAGCCTTCAACTCAGTGCAGAAGAGGAGAACTCTGGAGGAAGCGTCAGCCTCAATGGCTGCAGCACNGGAGGAGTAACTGTGGGTGAGTTTTGCTGATTGCCGCCAGTCAAGAGGCTGAGGAGAAGGGCCGTGAAGAAACGGAGAAAGGGTTGCCTCCCATTGTTGTATGCTGCTGTAACATTGTAAATAGCAATACATATATATATATTCCAATTCCATCTTGTAAAGATCAAGGAGACAGCCATTCACTTCTGTTGCCCACCATTGAACTGTGACACCAGATGTAATGTAACCGTACCAAAACAAAAAAATAGCTGTTCTCTCTAATATAATAATTATTCTTTCTGTTGGTGATTTTTGACCCAGAAATTTAAGATCGGCCCCTGGTCTTTGGGACACAAATCACAATCATATGGATTACCAAAATCACAATCTTTGGAGAGAGTTTTACTAAACATTTGTGGCCTTTTGGCCATGCATTGCTTAAGGATGTGTTGGATTAAGTCTATGAAAATTCAATATTGGCACAGTTACGAGAGCCTGTAAAAAAGCAACGAAAAAAATGCTACATAAGCTACACATATCACCCCCACCATATGAAGGTTGCGAGGGATCATCGTGATCCTAGAAACCAATGTTGCACCAGTTGCATTCACCAACAACAAAAGAAAGTAGCTAGGGAACTTTGCGGCTAATTCGACACACAAAAAACAACCATTCCAGTACTCGTGTGTAACCAATTGCAAAACCATGGTTCTTTGATATTATGAACTATAGCTTTGCCAAGGATAATGCGTGTCAATATTAGATGAAGAAATCATGTTGATGGCATCATCAGAAGATGCATTCTTGACGAAGAAACCATGTAGTTCTAACCCATTGCCATAACTTACCATGCGAATGACACCATGAACCAGATTGGACGGCTCCAAAAATCCTCTTATGTTGATTTTTTTTGCCCACACCACTCAGAGATGCAAGAAACTTTTTATTAAAGCTTGTGATAAGCGACGAACAATCCAATTTCGTAGCCAATGGAGGCCTCAAACATTTTCTTATTTTGAGTTGTCTCATGTTTTAGGCTTTAAATTCATGATTTTGTTCTCTAATTATCATAAGAAAACATTTATTTTCATAGAATCTAATTATATTTCAAGTTCAGTGGACATACACCGTTGCTCCTCCCAAATTGGTGGTTAACTTTGTCAAGAAATATATTCCCTCCCATTTGCAGCCTCAAGAAGCGTCATAGGATGGGGGCACTAAATCTAGGAAATCTGGGAGGGGTGAAATGTTGCGTAGCAAAATTATAAAAAATTGGTATACATATGAATGTGAAGAAACTTGATAGACTTTGTAAATGGCTTGAAATTACACTTTCAAATTACAGTTATTTTAAGGTATATCAAAATATTTCAATCGGATAAGACGCAAGTATCTAAAACAAAGTATGGAAGTTTTGTGTTACCCAAAATACCTTGAAACCATTTATTTATAGGCCAAAATCCGAATGAACATGTTTGTTGATGAAACATCACATCTTTTCGTGGTACATTCAAACGTCTATACTCAAACATTCAAATGTATATAGCAGTTAACTTGCACACAGTTTTTTCTACAGTTTTGTGTGATCCCTTGCATCTTTTTGTGATACATTCGAATGTTTAGTATTAAAAATTTGAAAAGAGTGCTAGAGATGCTTTACATTCTAATGTACGTATTGTTTTACACATTCGAACATACAATACTTTGAAATTTAATAATAAAGGATTAAATATAGAAAACTATCTATTATAAAAGACCAATATAGAATATACTCAATTAAAAGCTAATCCCTCTGCCCTATTTTACAACATCTGTTTTTTTCTATTCGTCCCAAGTTATTTTGTTTCTTTTATGAAATATAACATATGGTCCATATTATTTTTCTCAACTTTAAAGCACCCATGCTTCACACAGACAAACACAGACGATAATTGTCTGTGCAAAACAGACAATTATCGTCTGTGTTTGTCTGTGTGAAGCATGGGTGCACCCATGTGGTGGCACCCTAACATTATTCTTATTAAAAATATATTCAATCAAGACAAGTAGAGAGGAGTATTTAACTTGAGGTATTGAAATCACACTTTCAAGGTGATTCATCAAGTGTAGAGATTCGAAAAGCTATCATTTGACATGTCGAGGAAGTCTTGAGACATCAAATGCATTAACAATTTCACGGATCATTTTACGCATAGCATTGCACTGTGGTTGCTTGACACGCGCGTTCAACTTTTTTCTTCGGTTTTGGATTTTACAAAAACAGACTTCAGAATAAATCAAATTCTCATTCAAACTGGTCCTCTTGTTATGAAGAACCTAAATCCACCTTGACCCGGCACAAATTAGGTGCAGATCCCACTCAAAATAATGTCTCGAATCCACCATTTAAATTTTAACTTTAACTAAATTTTGTCACAAACGCTTGTGTCCATGGATCGTATGTGTCAATAGCATGTTAATGGAACGTAGATGGAACAAAATATCCACAAAGGTTTATGTTCGCGAAGAACTAGAATTTCCTGTCTCGACAGAAGTTGCAATCGACAATAAAGTTGCATGTCTAGAGCCATCCAAATGTCAGTAAAAAAACTCATTGTAAGATTTACAAGTTATAACAAATGGATGATATTACAAGTACAGATTCAGTATTCTAATCTCACTTCACACGGAGTATCAATCAGTAGCTGGCAATGAAAATCAGTTTTAAATCCTTTATGTAATACAGCAGCCAGATAGATCCTTTATGTAAAGCAATGTCAAAAAAACAGTCAGGTTTTTTTAAAGAACATAAAAAACTTCCACCATTTGTTCTCAGCAGTTTTTACTCATCCAGTAGCAAAGTATTCCGTAATTAATATTCATAGAAAAAAGCTAACTAAACTAAAACTCACCTCTCTTCCACTGCCATCTCTTCTTTGTATTGTACAAGAAGAGCATCACTAGCTATATAATGTTTTCCCCGTCACTTCACTTTTACAGACCAAGAGCTCAAGTAGCGGTTGTGTGCTTGTGGTTTTGGTGAAAAGATTTCAGACGGTTAATAAGATTAGCCTTCAATGACTCGGGAATTTGCGAAATAAAAGTTGGTTTGGCATCTGCAATCAACAACCTCCTGCACAAAAACAACACAAGTTTCTCTCATCAGTTCAAACTGAGAAGTTAACTTGCATGCCCGTATCAACTACAAGATTCATACTCGAAAGTAATTCAACAAGAATGGCTTAAGGGCCTGGTTGCATAGAGGGTTTTGGCAGGCTTATTCTACCTCTTGATATATATCTCTTTTTATTCCTTTTTAGAAACAGTTTTCTTTTCAGAAGATATAGACTACGGCATTCTTTTTTCTATTTCCAAGAAAGATTCTTATACACCATTTTCTGCTTAATTTTGTTCATACTTTAATCACGAAAAGATAATACCATATCAGCAATATTCAACATTCAGATCAAACTGCAACCAACTACTCAATCCATCCGGATTCAATTGTTCACTTTATTGTTTTTGTTTGTCCAAAATTAGTTGTCCACTTTCCATGTTCATTAACACTATGTTTGGTTCAAGGAATTTGGAAGAAAAGAAAAGAAAATGGTTTTCCCTCATTTTCCTCATCAAAATGGGAGAAATTTGGTTTTTCCTTCTTCTTAATGCATTTTGCCTTCTCATTTTCTTTTCCTTTCACTTTTCTTTTCTTTTCCTCTCTAACCAAACAAGAAAAATGTTTTCTTTCTCATTTTCCTTTCTTTCCCTCTCAAATTCCATGAACCAAACATAGTGTAAAGAAATTATGTTGCATTGTTTAAAATATCATAGCGTTTTAGAAATGTTGACAAGAATGAGTGGGAAAATTCATTTGAATGACTAATTTGACTAAATTTGGACAGATGGAGTGCAAATATTTGGATTATAACTGATGTTACATTTAAGAATATCAGAAACAATGAGATCAGTTCAGACTAGAAACACTCAGACAAGAACAGAAAGATCCAAACAGAACCATGCCAGAACCATTTGGACTAAATATAAAAAAAATATTTGGACCGAACCAAATTGCTCTTAAACAATTAAGATGAGATCACATGTTTCATGCAAAGAGCACAAGCCCTCCAAAGGTTTTCCCTTAACCACCCGTCCACCACCCCCACCCAACAAAAAAACCCTCAATACTAATTCAAGTAGTAAGTATCTAATAATTGTAACTGAAATACAAGTATTAAATGTATTTATGAAAAAATCCTTGGAAAAAAATGGAAAAAATCTTAATCCCAACGGGCACAATTAGTACGAAACTAGCCAATTACTTAAAGCTAAAAGGAAAGAAGAACATACTTTTCCTCATCATAATCTGATGTGTTCCTGACTCCTTGTGCACGCATCTTTTTCTTAGCATGCATGAAAGTATGGACATTTTCAGTCCAGCCACAGGATCGCAGCACCGAGGACGCTTCTTCCATCAGTCTGCAATATGTTAAGAAAATGGTTAACTAATCAACCCAAAGAACATAAAGCATAGTTCTGCGAAAATCTCTGCACATCCCAAAAGATGTTTCAAGGGATTAATATGATAATGTCAAAAAAATGTCTCACGGTATCAGAAATCTAGGCCCACAATCCCACATACATGACATGATAGCAGGAAGAACAAGTCAATATCAAATCAATCATGTCCTCAAAAGGAATGCACAAAAAAGGGGCAGAGGCATGGGCTAGAGAAGTAAAGTTGGAAATACAACGAACTTTCAAGTCTTAATACACATTCTAAATATTTAAAAGCAGCAGGGATAGGAAAATACTCTTTCTTCAATGCTTCCAGCTTCAATGAGAAGTGAGCATCCCCCGATAATAGAACACTTGATTCTGGCGATTTTCTCTTTTGACTTGAGTTAGTTGACAACGATTTCACATTACCATTAAGCAACTCCTTTTGGTTAGCAGTCTCTTTATCGCTATGACCATTCTCTTTACAGAGTCCACCCTCTAAGATATCAGATGTTACAGTCTCGAGATTACTGTTACCGTTGGCTAAAGAAGGTGATCTTGTTGTCTTTCCACTGACAATAGTTTTACTAGAACCATTTCTATGTGGTGACAACCTTGCTGCTTTAGGTGAATGAACCAAGTCTCTTTGAGCACCATTTTTATTTCCAGACTCTATTTGATTAGCAACAACTTTTTTATTTCGAGGAGAACACAGCTTCTTTATGTTATCTTTTTCTAAGACACCTGGAGCTTTATCAACTTCCAAAATAGCTGAGTTATCTATCTCTGGCTGGTGACCAGAAAGCTGCTTAATATTTACAGGATTTTCTGAAGGGCCTTTGGGGATCTCAGATTTGCCAATGCCATTGGTAACATTATTCTTCAAACCATTATATGGAGAGCATTTTTTCACAGATGGTGGCCTATGTTTAGCACGGGAGAAGAACAAAATATAAACCTTCTCTGAAAGAACATCTTGCAAGCTCGAATGTGAGACATAAGAATCGTTACAGCAGTACCAATAGCCCATTGCATCCTACAAATCAAGAATAAAAATTTAAAAACAAAGTGCACGTAGATTCCTTGACTAAATTAATTCTAAGAAAATGATACAAGTAGGTTCGAAGAAAAATATATATGTAAGTGGGACAACCTTAATGTATGCATAATAATGTCCTGAATCTGGTGATAAGCCTGAATGCACAATGGTACCAAAAAGCTTGTAATCTGGATGTGCATCCTGCAGCACCAATCCCACAAATCATATTTTCAAATACAATGATAAGATATGGAATGCATTATTAGTACACCTAGCAAAACAGACCCGAAACAAATTACCCGAATTGAATAACCCAGAATTGAACCCAAAATGACCGAAAAAATGAATACCCGGTCAATAACCAAAGCCTGAGATGACCCAAAGCCAAACCAAAACAAGTAGAGTCAAACTCGAATTAGACCCAAAACCGATAAGGCGAAATGGATTAAACCCAAAACCAATCAAACCCAAAATTGGATCATGAGTCATTAGTAATAAATTAACTATATGCCTCCTTTGACAAAAGTAAGGTAATGTGCATTCCAAATGAAAGAATTGACAATAATGAAATCTAAAGAAACTTAAATCAAAGCATTCTGCATTCATAATGATTTTGGCTTTGGCGGAAAAACTTCCTTCTCTACATTTCACCAATAAAATATTTCTTCTTTCTTTAACTCTAAACATGAATAAAGTGAGAAGTCGATTAAAAAGAAAATCAAGAAGATTTTTACTCAACAAGAGGAAGAGGACTAAGGAGCATACTCAATTCAATTTTAATGTTAATCCAACCCCAAATTATTCAAACCAATATTCATCTCTTATCCCAAGCTAATATAAATTGGTATCTGTCAAAACTGAAATCTTCCCTAACCAAAATATACCCAAAACGATATCTATCCAAACCATTTTGTACCCGAACATATTATATCCCGAACCATATCTGATCTGAAAGAAACTGTAACCAAAATGAAAAATATACAACAACAACAACGTTATCCCAGTGCCTCAAAGGCTCCCACCCATTTTGGGGCAAGGGTGCGCAGTCCGACCCTTGTGTTTAAAACATAAAGCGGCTATTTCCGGATGACCCATAATGAGCGTCGAAAGTTGCATTGACTAACTGCTACTTCATTATTGAAAAAGAAGCACATGCAGTTTAAAGAACCATTTTGCTTTATTCCATCACACCCAAAGCCAAAAATAGTGAATCTTTGGCTCCCTCGAAAAAATATAGAGAACCAAATTAAATCCGAACCCGAATAGAACAAAAAACAGTCCAGAACAACTTAAAAGATATACCAAAAATAGACCCGAACAAATTCAAACCGAACAAACTGACAGGTCTAATTATTAGTGACCAACCAACCAGAAATCATTAAAGTTAGAGGAAGGATCAATGTACGTTATGTAGAAAAAGAAAGTGAATAGAAAGTCATATTATTTTTTATGCCCCAAAGGATTTCAAATTGTTTCCACTACAACATGACAGCCTAAAAACATAGATACTTACACATAACCAAATTTAGCAGGCAATAATGTTCCACATTAGATAAATCACTATAAGAGCTACCTGCATGTTGAAGATAGATTTCTCAGACTTATTTTAGGAACCCACCTGGCTTTCTTCACACATGTAGCTTGAAAGCACTAAAACCTCCTCAAAATTAATAAGCTTATCAATCTTCCCACCAAATATACCTTCAAACCTCTGTCAATTGAAAACAATAAGTATACAAGAGTATTAAATTGGAATGTATTTGAAAAAACACATAATTGTTCCTTCCATATCTATACGACCTTGAGCTGAATAACAAGAACATTTGGTGCTTGAAGTAATGACATCTGCTTCCGTGCAGTCACCAATTTATTACACCTAAACAAGTAGCACAATTCAAATATTTATGTACAGATAAATATAATAATGAGCAGACATCTCAATATATGATAGAATAAAGAAAACTTACTTATCACACTTGTACTTATTATTACCATCCAAAATTTCTGGCTGAAAGAATTTCTGCAGAGAATCTTTCAGAGAACTACTGTGCAAAACATCAAGACTGATATCCATGATCTCGTCTACAGTATTTGACTCAGCACCACATGATAGGCACTTTACCTGGTTCTGCAAAGAACCTCCAAAAATTTCCTTAACAATAGTACTCTCATTCCCACACCCGCTGGTAGCATTTCCATTTCCAGCCTTCTTTCTCTGTTGCTGCAGCTTCTTCAACTGCAAACATGTGTTGTGGCAGGCATCAATCACATACCGCAAAAACTCATGTGCATCCTCCTGCATCCCTGTTCTAAAATGCTGTGCAAAAATCCTCAAACAGCGATTAATCTTCAAAGGACTGTCCAGTGGCAAATCTACACTCAAAGACCGAACAATTCGCTTTTCTAGAATACAGAAAGGGCACTCGCTCTTCTTCTCCCGGGCCACATCACCTAAAGGCAGAAAGCTGATGAAAATCAAAACGCCCGTTTCAAAAATTGAGGGCAAAAATATAGATACTAAACAGACCACAAGGAAAACTTACATGAGGACGAGTGAAGGGATTGGAGACAAAAATTCGCGAGAGGAGGTGTGTAGGTGAGGCACTGGAGGACGGAATTAAGATAGCATGTGTTGCCTAGGTTTCTGAGCCCTAAGGGAGGACTCGATTTGCGTTTCTGCCTGAGGAGGCTCGGCTGCCAATTCATTTGCAGAACGGCCATCAACGACCTGATTCCGCCTCCGCATTGGATGTACCGCTCCGCCGTAGCCGCTGCAGCCCCCACCAGCAAGGTTGCATAGCCTCCGGCCTCCTCCGAGCAAATCCGCACACGAGACGTGTGGGCAGAAACTTATGTTTCTCGAAGTGAAAACAGCAGATTCGGAGGTTTACTTGTGGCTTATAATCACAGTTGATCTATGAGAGGTTTATGTATGTTTGCTCCAGAGAAAATTGTGAAGGTGATAAGAAGAGGGAAAACGAGGGAGTGAAGAAAAGAGGAGGTAGATGTCCCCAGTCGCCGCCCTAGCTAGGGCGTCTTTTATGTTAAGACTTTCATGGTAGATCTTGTTTGTTCCAACAACCCTACTCAAAATTCATTTTCGGATAATAAAATATTTATTTTCAAATAATTGAATACTCATTTTTTAAAATACAATTTTATTCGTAAGTGAATGTCCAATTATTTGATAATGAATATATTTTATTACTTAAAAATACATATTTAATTATTCGAAAATAAGTATGCAACTGGATGTACGTGAAACATCATACATCTCGATGTCTTATATAGGTACTTTGGCAGAGGTTAGTTCAAGACTCCACACGAGCACCTATACTATACATGTGGATATATGATGTTTTTTCGTACATTCACATTAATACTCATTTTCGATTAATTGAATATTCATTTTGGAGCAATGGAACACTAATCTTTTAGTAGCGGAATACTTATTTTCAAGCATAACTGAATTTTAGAAAAATAGGTACGTAGTATTTAGTTATTCAAAAATGAGAATCTAGATGCTCGAAAATGAGAATTTAGTTGCTCGTAAATGAGTGCTCGGCTCGCTGTGGATGTACGTGAAACATTGTACAATTGATTGTATTATATTTATGAATGCATCACTTTGGTAAACATTTACACCACCTATATCGTCATTACACATTTTTTATTTGGGAATTGTACAATTACATCATTCCAAATAGTGTAACATCGTGATGCTATTTCAATTATCGCATCTACGAGACCCCGTTTGTAAAATTAACAATTTCTACCCCTCGAACTCACCTCATAAACTCTCACCCCCGAACACGACCACCCTAGCCCCTGGAGTCGCTACAAAAAACTTGACTTTTTGTAGCAAAATAAATATTTGGCACAATATATAAATAATCTCTAATTATTTGTGGAAATTCAAAATTTGCCACAAAGTAGTATACTTATTGTAGCAATTTTATAAAATTGCCACTAATTTTTGACGAGGAAAATTATTAAAGGAATTAATTTTATACAGAATATATAATACGGAGTATACCCGTATTTATGAAACTATTAGCAATTCACTCAATCCCTCCATTATTTCTCTTTTTCAATCGCCCCCTTTTCACTAAATGTAACCTCCTTACTCACGCTACGTTTCATTGTCCTGATCTGATTTGACTTTTTGAAGTTTTGATCTGATTCGATCTGATATGATTAGATCTGGTTTGATCTGATCTCATTGGATCTAATCTGATCTAGTCTGATTGGATTTGATCGGATCTGATCTGATTTGAATTTGATTAAAATTGATATTAAAAGTAAAATAGTTATAATAATAGTTATAATAATAATAGAAATATTAATAATAATAGTAACAATTATAATAATAATAATAGTATTAAGAATAGTAATAATAATAATAACTATAATAATAATATTAACTATAATAGTAATTAGAATAATGTAAATAATAATAAAAATAAAAATATTGGTAATAATAGCAATAATAATAATAGAAATAATGATAATAATAGTAATAATACTAATAGTAGTAATAATAATAGAAATACTAATATTAGTAGTAGTAATAATAATAGTAATAAGTATAATAACAATAATAATTGTTATTTTAGTCATAATAATAATAGTAATAGTAATAATAATAATAATAGTACTAATAAAATAGAAATAATAATAATTATAACAATAATATTAATAATAGTAACAATAATAGTAATAATAATAATATGTTGGACATGAGTTCAAATTTCTTTTGGATATTTCTTAATATTATTTTTTTAGTTTTTGATAAATGACAAATGCAACGACGAATGAAAATTTTAATTTTGATTCGAGAAAGCAAAGAGGCGTATCAAAAATTTTACAACGTTCAAATTCAACGTTCATCCCTACGTAGATTTTTATGAAGTCAAGTGAAGATTCTGAAGACTTTTATTTTTTTGAGTCATAGGAACTTTTGTAAGGATGACAAATATTTTTCACCTAAATAAATTAATTTCTAAGGGTTAAACTATTAGTACTTTTTTTGAATCAGTTGAAAAATAAATTTTTCTCTATCTAAAAATATTTTATTGGTGTTAAATATGTTAAGCATATTTATTATATATGTTAAGAATATTCCTTGTATCAATTATAGTACATTTTTTATTAGTATAAGATTCACATTTATGATTGCTTCCTTATTGTAACCCCTCCCCCTTTGTATATAAAGGGAGGTAGAATTATTGTATTGGACTGTGGAAAATAATCCTTATTTCATGGTATCAGAGCCTACCCGAGGTTAACCTCGAAACCTTCTCTTTCTCGGAGTTGCCCTCCCAGCCGCCGCCCCTTTCTCTCCCTTTCTCGGCTCATACGCTCTGCCGGCAGCCCCTCTCTCTTCTTTTCTCTCTATGGCTTCGGACAAAACCACCCCCTCACCTACCCCCCACCTTGCCTTCACCATAATTTCTAACGTCAAACTCCAAGTTCCTATTACCCTTAGTTTCTCGGAGCCGAACTTCAAAAAATGGAGCCACCTTTTCCTCCTCTTGATTCGACGTTTCAACCTTGAAGGCTTCCTTACCGGCGAGAAAACCTCGACCGAAAAGGATGACGTCGAATGGCTCCAACTTGACGCTCTCATCCAAGGATGGATTCTCTCCATCGTCAACGATGAGGTATCGGATCTCATCATCTCCTCCACCACATCCGCTGTAGATCTATGGAAGTCGATTCACAACTTGTTTCACGATAACAAGGCGGCTAGAGCAATGCAACTAGAGCAAAAAATTTTCAACACCGCCAAAGGAACATCTACCATTGCCTCGTATTGTCAGATGCTTCGAAACATTGCGGATTGGCTTGACGATGTAGATGCCCCGGTCACCGCGAATCAACTGGTCCTTCAAACCCTACGTGGCCTCCAGGAGGATCTGAGTAATCAAGCCTCGTTTCTACAGTTTCAAAAACCCCCGCCAACATTTATGGAGACCCGGTCAGCCCTCCTTCTCCTAGAGGGACAGCGGCGAACTCACACAGTTGCCGCCGAGGGGAGCACGGCGCTGGCAGCAAACGGCGGAGGAGGCCCTCGCGGCCTGGGCTACGGTGGTCATGGCGGCCAGCATTTTGGACACAGCAGCGGCGGTAATGGACCGCCCCAAGGGTACGGCGGACGGGGACAGGCACATGGTGCCTGCGGTGGACGGCCGAGTCGCGGTCGTGGTCGTTGACGGAACGCTGGAGCTTCTTCCTGGCACAACACTGGGCACTTCAATCCCTGGCAAAACACTTATCCCACCCAACAATGGGCTGGGCTCTTGGGCCCATGCCCCAACTCTACCCAAACCCCAGCCCAAGCCAATTGTACTCAACCCATTTTTTCTCCTTACCCATACCAATTCACCCACAACCCA